ATATATAAGGTTGCAACCTTAAAATGTAGACTTACAAATGCACCTCAAAATCCATTGAAAACTATTTTTTTAATTTTGAAAAATCCTCTAATTGATCATCTCAACATCGGTATTAATGAATATGAAAAATAAATACATTAAGTACTAGAAATAGTGCATCTCGCAACACATTATCTATACCGTCCATTTTCAAGATTTTCATATGTTTATAGATCTACTTGTTTTTGACCATTTTTGGAGTTTAAAATTTTATAATTAGATATGAAACTAATCTTAAGAATATTTTAGGCCAAAACTATAAGTTATGATAAAATTTGGAGGTGCGCCTTAGTTAGATTGCTTATGGTTGCAACTTTATAGAAACCACACCCATATATATATATATATATTATTATATATATATATTATTTATAAAAATTCAATTTGAAATTTGACGTTCAAGAGTGATTGTGATCTCCTTGTATTAAAAGTAAATGATATTTTTATATACTTTTCATATTTGTTAGGCATTAAATAACGAATCATTTAAGTTATTGCGGGACAAGGATTCATAATTAGAAACGATTTTATGTTACAAAGACATACATAAGTCAAAATTGCGTACGCACATTGTTGCCAATGTCAAAAATGGCCTTTCAACATTGTACTTGTTTCTATCATTTCATTTAAAGCCCACAAAATTCGGATTTCAAGTGAAATTAAACACCTTCGTAGTTACAATCAAATAGAATAAGTTAACCAGATATGTAAGTTTTTTAAAGCATCAAATATATATGTGTTCATATCCATACCATTATTACTTAGACTCGACCTTATAAGTTAGCCCAATTAACGAGACTCCCGATTATGGTATTAGCCGTTCTAGTTCAAGGCGATGACTACGATTGAAAATTTATAAAATAAATGTGTGACTGATTCTAGGCAATTGAAACTACAGTTTCGACCTATTGGACCTACTAAACATGGTAGAGCAACTTTTTTTTGTTTAGGGATGGTATAGCCTCCACACGATGTGGATGCCTGAAGGGTGCACGAGCACCAACAAATGGTTCAGATTGAACCTAGTATCATGGCCAAAAAAAGAATTTTGTATTTTGTGTTTTATTTTTATTCAAAAGTAATATTTGTAGTTATATTTTATATGGTATATAAGATAAAAATAATAAAGAAAATGTTTTATGGTTCAGATTGAACCTAGTATCATGGCCAAAAAAGAATTTTGTATTTTGTGTTTTATTTTTTATTTAAAAGTAATATTTGTAGTTATATTTTATATGGTCTATACGATTAAAATAATAAAAAAAAATATTTTAAACAAAAAAGTTGATCAAGATACCCTAAAACATTTAATAGTATTTTGGTAAACTTTTTTATCAAAACAATTTTTATTATTTATTTGATTCATTATAATAAAAGATATTAACAACCCGAATAAAAAGTAAATAAAAAATAAAAAATTTGCTGCCATTGGATGTACCCATGTGTAATATGTGCCAATGAAAGAGTATATATGCACCTTCCACCGTCCACATGATGTGGATGGGAGACTTTCCCTTTGTTAAGGGATTGTACAATGCGAGACTATTTATCTTTGTTACAAGGACGTCATAGTTACTTCTTGCTATCTGGTGTCAAATTGGATAGCTTGGGTGTCATGAAGTTCAAGATTTTTCTCTCTGAACTTTGTGTCTAGTTAATAACAAACTTACAACTACCCCATTTGAAATATAATGGACATGAGTGATTGTCACCTCCTTGTACTAAAAATAAATGGCGTCTTTGTATATGTTTGCTTTTGTTAATAGGTATTAAGAGCAAATCTAAAGCAGAGGTTAGTCAAAATGGCAGATACTGTTGTGAATTACTTTCTCCCCGTACCTTGTTTTAGTGCAAATCTGAGTAGATCTCTGATAACAGTTTTTCAAGTTCATCCAAAACAAGTTAAATATAATTAGATCAATAAAAAAGATGGGCCCTTGAAATTATAGATTAAAACAACCTCAGATTTGACAAATCTAATTCCTTATAAATCTATTGGCATTGCCAACTCTAAATTTAACACCAAAGTAGATATTTACAAGCATAAAAATTTTTAAATAAAATTCACAAACTATAAAAAATCAGAAAAAAGAAATTAAACAAATTAAATAAAGAAAAAGAGAAAACTTACCTGGAGAACCCGAAACCCAGAGTTTTGGGCTCAGATCAAGATACCTTTTGCACACCTTCTCCTTCCTTAAATGCTCTTATTTGATAGATTAATTAGGCTGGAATTTTATTGGAAATAGGTTACAATTTCCTAGAACGGGGCTCTAGGGTTTCTAGGACTTCTAGGATTTACAAATCTAGGGTTTTCCAGGGTTTTTGTAAGATTTTAATGTTTTTGGTTATTTTTGTGAATTTTTATTAATTTTTAAAGATTTATGGAAATTTGTTCTAAATTTTTGGGGGTCTTAAGATTTTCTATATTTTCTAAAAGTTTTCTGGAAAAATTTCTGGATGATTTTTCTAACTTTTTTTAAGGGTTTATATAGACTAGACTAGGGTTTGGCTAAAATGTTTATGATTTACCGTAGAAATTTATTCTAAATTCACCAAGGTCAAAATCGTCCAAAATAGGGCTAACAAGAACTGCACAGCCAGATTTAACTGGAAGAGGTCTGGGACACGGCCATGCCCAACGTGCCTGCGCAACTCGAGGAGGGATGTGCGGTCCATGGGCCTGCGCACCTCCATGAGTCGTGCAACCCACGAAGCAGTGTGCACCAGGGAATACCCTGTTATTTATTCAAATAATTTTTCTCATCAAATAATTTTCCTTATAAGATAATTTTCAAATGGTGACTCAGATTTGGGTGATTCTTGAATTATTAGAAAACTCTTGTGCTCTATTATTGTTTAAAATAGCTTTTGGGTCAATTTTGAGAAGGTTAGGTCCACTATGTCTCACTAAACTCAGTATGGTCCCTAGGTCTCAAATTTAGATTTCGGAAAATCCTATTAGCCCGACCTTTTAAGGGATTTCTATAGTTCACAAGTTAGCATTGAAAAGAAAAATCTCTTTTTATGAACTATTGTTCGTATTTATTTTCGCTATTTGTTTAAATCCAATCACTAGCAATTGAACGGGTTTCAACTCGATCAAATCTTCTAAATAAGTTTTGCGGCATGTACGGTTCATAGTGTGTTGACAAGTCCCACAAATTATAGGCTCACAAGTCCAAAATGTATTGGACTGAATAGCATGTTGATTTGAGTCCATGCCCATGCAATTAGAACCCGATGATTAGGATTGAGAATTGGTTATCTGGGCTGATAATCGGCAGGAGCAAGCCGATTTTGGGAAGGTATCTGTCCTTCCCTGTTCGCCCAAACCCCACCTCTGCCTTGTCCCCATTTTTCATTTTTTTAAGTTTATTTAATAGTTTTTAAGTCATTTTTAAATCCACATCCATAAACCCTTATTTTAGTTTTTTATAATTTTTAAATATTTTTCAAAGTTGTTATTCGGTCCAATCCGGAATAGTGACTTGGTGATCTAGGGTGGACGATGTGCGCCACCAATTTGGGTTTTAAAACACTATTTTAAGACAAAAACTTGATTAGCATGAAAAATCAACATAAATGCCTTTCTGTATGTACCAATATTGATGATCTTTGTGGATTTCTATGTCAGGAGCCCGATCCGTGGGTGTTTGTTATTGAATGTTGGGCGACAACCTTCCACCCCCTAATGAAGTTGTGGCCCTCTATCAGTCCAAGGAAATCAAGAAGATGCGACTCTATGACCCCAACACCACAGTCTTAGAAGCCCTTCGAGGATCTGACATCCAAGTTATGCTCGGCCTCCCGAAGGAAAACCTCACATAGGCGGCAGCCAACACATCCTATGCTGCCGACTGGGTCAGGACCAATGTCCAAGCTTACTTTCCTGCTGTCGATATCCGCTACATTGTTGTTAGCAATGAGGTAATCCCAGGTCCTGAAGCTGGTAATGTCCTTCCAGCTATGCAGAATGTATACAATGCAATAAAGTCAGCGGGATTACAGGACAGTATCAAGGTTTCCACTTCTGTCGCCTCCAATGTGATAGGCACATCTTATCCACCATCTGCCGACTCATTCTCTTCCGAATCTTCTTCAACGATGACATCCATCGTTGGTTTCCTTTCTAGCACTGGAGTACCACTGCTATTGAACGTGTACCCTTATTTCAATTACATAGGCAACACTAGAGATATTCAACTGGAGTATGCGTTGTTTACTGCTAATTTTGATGTGCTAATAGATGGTCAATTTAAGTACCGTAACCTCTTCGATGCGATGGTAGATAGTGTGTATGCTGCAATGGAGAATGTTGGCGGACGGGGAGTCCCACTCGTAGCTAGTGATAGCGGGTGGCCTTCTGTCGGAGGCGCTGCAGCCACAATTGACAACGCCCAAACCTATAACTCGAACTTGGTGCAACATGTGGATCAAGGAACTCTGAGGAGGGTGGGCAGACCCCTGGAAACGTATGTGTTTGCAATGTTCAATGAGAATAATAAGGCCGCAGGGATTGAACAAAACTTTGGGCTCTTCAATCCCAACAAGCAGCCGGTTTATGATGTGAGTTTCCCTTAGAGAGTGAATATTAAAGGCTAAATAAGCCTTAATGTATTTGCAATAAATAAAAGTATGTTGTTTGTGTTAATCATTTAAGAATATGCAATATCAAAAGAAGTAACTCATATTTTGTCCCCCATTCTTCACTTTTTAATCTTGTTCGCAATTATTGCATTGTTGACTTGCATAATTGAGTTCTGAACAAACAAATCATAGTGACTTCGTGGTTGAAGGAGATTTTGAAATGTATATTTCAACCTGAGAAAAGGGAAATTGATTAAATATGCTATAGTTTGGGCAGGGCTTGAGTGGTTTGAACCATAGTTATCGGGAGTGCCCAACTAGGGTGGCACTCCCACTCTGGGACCTATCTTTGGCGTTCCGTGACTGGGATCCCGCCCAGAACCCGTTCTCAACTTTTTGGGAGCTCGCTCCTATTTTTAGGATTTTTGATCCCAATCACAACAGAGCTCACTCCCGCTACCGCATGGATCTCGCTCCCATTGTCTCACGGAACGCGTTCCTGAACAAATTAGATCTCCGCTCCCAGAATTTTAAGATCGTGATCCCTACATTCCCAAAACTCCATCCTTAGGGAGGATCCCACCATGAACAAAAATAGATCCACCCACCATTAAAATAGTAGGGTTATCAGCTAAAAAACAAGTAAAAATTGGGCCTCTAGGACTCAAAGCAACTATTCTAGCTCTAATTCCAGATGGGTAATTTTTTGGTACGCTATTAAAAATGTTAAATTGCTTTTTCAATCCTTTACAAAGGTTTTTCATTTGAATTCCAATACAAAATCAGCCACCCCAATCCTTGAATTCGTCAAGGCCAACTTTTATAACATACCTGATATCTCTTCGTATATTCAGGCTTTCATGGTTTCCCTGTAAAATTAATAGCTTCCCATTTGATTTCTTTGCATCTTGTTTGAGTTTTTCTAAAAAATAAAGGAGCTTGAACTCTTCTCCTCCTCTATCAAAGATATCACCAAATTTCACAACCATGAAGTTGCATGCAATCCAGTGAATAATTTTTTTTCGAAGATTTTAACCATTTTTAGAGCTTGTTTGGCCTTTTGGAGATTTGCCATGGAGAACCCCAACTGCTAGCAAGTGAGGTTGGGATGGGTATGTAGATTTTTGTTTCTGTTGTGCTCTTTAAGGGAAGAGAAAAAGTCTACTCACTGTGAAGTTAGACGAATGTATTTATGAAGTTAGAGAGAGAGAGAGAGAGAGAGAGAGAGAGAGAGACGCGTACGTCGACAGTACTCCGTAGTAGTAAGAGTGGTAGGTAGGTAGAGGTAGGTAGGTAGTAATAGTAGAAGGTAAGTAAGTAGTAGTGTCGTCGTAGAAGAAGAGACGAGAGAGAGTAGAGAGAGAGACAGTAGAGAGAGAGAGTAGAGAGGTAGTAGGTAGAGT